AACACATCCAACACAACACAGGGTCGAAGGTGTCAATGACCTAACAGGCAGCAGGCAAAGGCAGAATGAAGGAACATCGCCCGGTGGCATAGACGATGTGCATTAACCCTGAACCTTGCAAATAGCAAGGGCAGAGTTGATGGGTATACCCATATGGACCACCAAACCCGCTGGGAATTTCTAGGGCCTGAAAGCTTGAGCTAGCGGGAAGCCCAGACACTGGGACACAATGCTGGTGTTCTCAAGTAAATCAACCCAGCCTAGACCATTTGGCTAGAAAACCTACTTCGGCACACTGAATACCCAATCATACCCCACCAGCCAAAGACGTTCCAAACCAAGGAAAACATGGAGGGGTGAAAATTCCAGACTCACCCCAAAAGGCAAAACTACCATAAGCAAGACAGATTTCCTAAAGAACACCCCCAAATACTCCAGGAAACAGAACCTTCAGCACATGCAACTCTAAGTGCACAAATCTCCAGGCCTTCACTTTCACATTGAAAGTGAAAGGAACCACCACCAAGGCAGAGGAAATCCAAGAAAAACACAGGTCAGAGCGACTGTGGCAGCCCAGCACATCGGAGGAGAAATGAGGGTGCAACAACCTGTAAACTGTGGGCTGCTCCCCCCCTTCCCCCCAAAAGAGGGGGAGGGCAAGGCAAACAAGCAAGTACTAGTTCGGTCATTTTCGGTCGTTTGCTTACACAGTTTGGGGAGAGCTCTTTGGCTGTTTTAGAGTCTGTAGGTAAAGGAAATAGCCAACTGTGGTTTTGTCTCATCTCGCTGACTTTCTGAGTGCTTTCTTTGAAAGCACTCAGAAAGCATCATGTCTGAAAGGTGAAAGACTTTCACCTTTCAGACATGATACACCTCAGAGATGTTAGCTACAGACAGCCACAAGAGGTTCTCCATAGAAAAGAAATAGTATACAATATTATAAGAAACAAACATTTCTTAAAAGCTGTGTGTACAGGCTAAAGAGTGTAGTTCCCTGTTAAAATTAAAGGCCTTATTTTTCCATTTGGCAGCCTACATAACGTGTCCGAACTTGAAGCCACTAATGAATTTTTTTTTAAATAACTTATTGTTTTCATATTAACTTTGTTAATGTTTTGCCATGACTATATCTGGTAGCAGCCGCAATCATCCTGGAGGAGTTAAGAGTAAGAAGGTTGTCCTAATAATTAAAGATAAGTTACGTGTCATTGAACTTTGTGAAAATGGTCAGTCTGCTGTGAGTGTCGCAAGGAAATTTGGTTATAGGCATTAGTATAGTCACTAGTATTCCTAGATATATGTAAACAAAGATGAATACATAGCAACTAGCGAGAGTGAGGGTGCAAGCACTAGCAGAGGGTGTAATTGGGGAACATAGGATTAAGGACTTGCCTGAAACGGTGTGTGTGCTAGTGGCCCTACAAGAATGTAAGAACTCTTGTATATATAAATATAAAACCAGCGTTGAATGCAATGAAACACCATTTTCTGGGCGAGACCCGGAGGCTCCCCCGGAGCTTACTAGGCTGATATGCTAATGTCAGACTTTGGTATCAGTCATGTGTATGCAGTTCTATGGGCCTACCAGGGGACCATGAGCCAGAACCTGGCCCCATCAGAAGAGGCAAGGGAAGCAATGGCCTATAGAAACCCCCGTGTGGTTGGAAGCATTCTATGTCTGCCATCGACTGGGTCAGGCACCCAGAAAGGTAAGCATCCCAAAACAAACCCCTATTCTGGTGAAAATATTGCTTCCCAAAGCCGAACAAGTGGATAGAACTCCCCTAAAAGAAACAAGCAAACGATCATGACGTCACACGTTGCCGCGCCGCTGTCTGTGCAGACCCCACACGCCGGCTGATGTGGGGTCGGCGAATGTCAAAACACACGAAAAACCGCCAACCGGAGGGAAGGGAGGGATGCCGGGGAGCCGGGGAGCCTCCAGGTCTCGCCCAGAAAATAGCTTTTCATTACATTCAACACTGATTTTCTGGGGGGGCTCCTTCGGCTCCCCCCAGAAAATTACCCACAGAGGAAAAACTTAGGGACTTACCCGGGAGGTGGTTGCTGCTCACTCCTCAACTCGAAGTCGAGACAACTAGATGCAACCGCTAACCCAAAGTGACACAGACTCGACTAGGCCCAGGGACGTTCACAAGGTAACGAGCAGCCAGGACTCTGTTCGACCGCCAAAAGCCCCACGCCCGAATGTCAGCCCAGGACATGTTGCCAAAGGCGGCAGCAAGAGCAGCAAACTTACGAACTTCATAGGCATGGGGATAGACTGTAGGGTGGCTAGTCTTAATAACGCTGTAGACGACCTGGAAGACCCGCACCCACGAACAGGGAAGAAGGGAAACCGGATCCACCCAAAGCCTGTTCCCGGACACAGAAGCCATGGCGCGCAAATAATGTCAAAGAGTCGCAACTGGACACAAAACATGATGCACCCCCGGCCTAACCAACCAAACATCCACAACCCAGGGACCCCTCCAGAAAGCAGCAGTCTCATTCTTTGCCAGAAAAGAAGGAGACGGCTGCAAACGAACAAAACCATCACCAAGACCGAAAGAGCAGAAACCCCCTATGCCGGAGTAGAGCATGAAGCTCACCATTCTCAAGTCGATTGTGATGAGGAAGTAGAGACAGGCAATAAATAGGCAAGAGAGGGGTGAGGAGCAAAGGTGTAGTAGAGGGGATAGTAGGAAAACGAACTGCAGAGGGCCAATTGGCCCATGCGAGGCAGCTCCTATTAACCACCAAATGAGGAGACAATAATAAGAATAAGAAGAGGATAGCAAGGGAACGTAGAAGACAATGAACAGAAAAAAAAGAGAAAAGAGAGAAAGAAAGGTAAATGGAAGGGCAAGCTTATGTTAGGTCAAGTTTTTTAGAAAGATTAGAACATTTAAGTATATACTGTGAAAGGGAAGAGTCCACAGCAACAAAGCCAGGACTCAAGTTCATGTTGGGTACATTGTGTATTAGAGCAGATTCAACAAGACGGCGTCTGTGTAGAATAGAGGCAGGAAAGATTATTTTGGAGGAAGACCAATCAATGGGATGATTAGAATCCCTCACATGGCAGAAGAGAGCATTGTTAGTGTCTGCAGACTTAACACTTCTCGTGTTCTTTAAGTCTGTCATTCAGTGTACGGCCAGTTTCGCCAAAGTATTGGAGAGGACAAGACGAACAGGAAATGGAGTAGACACCAGCAGCATTAGAAGCAGGAGGAGCAGTGTGAACTAGATTGCTACGAAGTGTGTTAGTTTGTCGAAAGGCAAGTTTAATGTCAAGAGGACAAAAGGTATTGGTAAAAGTTTTGAGTTCAGATATGAAGGGAAGGCATAGTACAGTGCTACTAGTGTTGGAAGCAGGTTTAGGATGAAAGAAATTTCGTTTCACTTGAGAGTAGGCACAGTTGATGAAATGCAAAGGGTAACCAAGGCGAGAGAATGATTTGTAGATAAAGGCAATTTCAGAATCAAGAAACCGAGGGTCGCTGATGCGTAGAGCACGGAGGAAGAGAGAGACGAGGACACTTTTCTTAACAGAAGGAGAATGGTAGGAAAAGAAGTGAATGTACATGCCACTATGCATGGGTTTGCAGTAGACAGAGAAAGAGAACCCGGACACAGAGCTGTGAATGTGAACGTCAAGAAAAGGAAGGAGGTAATTAGATTCCCACTCAACTTTGAAATGGATAGAAGGAGCCAGATTGTTAAGAGAGGAGAGGAAAGGCTGGAAAAGACTAAGGTCATGAGGCCATAAAGCAAAAATGTCATCAACATAGCGAAACCAGAGAGAGGGACGAGTATCAATAAAAGGAAGAAGAACAGTTTCGAATAGGAACAGCTTCTTGGACGAATCCAAGGAACCCAAAGGCACCTGGAAATGAACTCGAGGATGGGGGGGTCGGGGGGTGGAAGGGAACGGAACTATCAGGAGAGAGCGTCAAGCCATTACGACTATATAGCACTTGGAAGTGGTCAGGATAAGGATTTGGGAATGGATGGGGGTAAGGAATGGTGCCCAACCACTTGGACGGTCGGGGATTGAACGCCGACCTGCATGATGCAAGACCTTCGCTCTACCATCCAGCCCACGTGGTTGGGTAAGGGGGGGGGCGGGAGAGAAGCATCCAACTCGAATTAATACAGGGAAGAAGGGGTACGAAAACCACCTCCCCTGCAGCAATAACCCTTGCTCAGAAGGTACAAGGGGCCCAAGCAGGGTCAAAAGGAGCCAAGTGCTTTAAGCAGACTTCCTCCGAGCCTCCACCCCTCGACTCAGGTTCCGGGGCAGAGCCCTCTTCCACACCCACCATCCTTGAAAAAAAGGAGAGTCCAGGGAAAAAGCTCCTGAGAAGGAAGTCAGCTGGGTTGACCCGGAAGTCTCGGTAGGAAAATCAGGGTCAACCATCTCCGTACCCAAATCCGAAACCCTCAGACGTTTAGGAGCTGGAAGCAGGGGGGAGGGGGGGGGGAGAAGGAAGGAGCGAATCACGCCCACCTGCAAAAGGAAGTAGAGGCTTCCTCCACCACTCATGCATTGCCATCTCCGACCATCTCCTTCATCAACTAGATCTCTTCACTCTTCAAGGACAGCTGACTTTGACAAGCAGAACGACTCAATCATTCAAGATAAGTAATGTGCAGTGTTTTTTATATTATAACCTATATTATATTATTATAACTAATATTTGAGGTATGTAATATGCAGTGTTTTCTAAATTGTATGTCCCAAGAAATTTTGGTTTCGAGGTGGCCCAGGTATGCATCTCCTATTTATAGCACGGCACTTATGGGAAAATCAAGTTTTGTATTCAGAACAACTGTTTTACAAACACATTCTCAGAATGTAACTCATTCGTGGTTAGGGAACTGCCTGCACTCTTTTCTACACAAGTCATTTTCTACACTAGTAAAATCAAAAGGTCTTAGAGGGCACATGACTAAAACAGGTAGCAAGTGTATTTTAACTAAATGTAATGACTCACCCTGCTTCATCAGCCACCTGTGCCATGAGGCCGTTGACAGCATCTTGAGGGACTGCCGTGGTGGTCGTCTGGCTCATAGCTGTGTCCATGTATGAGCTCTGAACATCAAGATCTTCAAATTGATGCTCAAACTTATCCATAAGTGCAGATATCTTCTCCAGGTTCATGCTCTTCATTGCTGCGTCTAGGTTTTTGACCACGCCCGCCATGCTCTGGGTAACCTGAAAATGGAAGGCAAGAGTTAAGGTGAAGAGTCAACAAGAAACCAGAAAAAGCTTTTTGTCAAATGCACATTGAAACTACCAGTACTTCATTTTGCATTTGTTCTTTTGGATAACTAAGTTCTTCTAGCTATCAACTACACAATATTTTTAGTAAAGTGGGCATGCATAACCGGCAGCAAGTGCTTAGGGAGCGAGGTCTAGATCTTTATTGAGGCCATACATCACCTCCCAGCCATTTATACTTGACGTACTAATTACTTCTCTCAATATTGATGTTTTCTGCTGATTTTTTCTTAAAGTTGTGCCTTTAACTGGTTTCAACAACCTCTTCCTTCCATGTATTCCACTTGCCTATCAACTAATACTGTAGTTGTAAAATACAACTAATATAGTGACACCACTAAAATTCCCACCTCAATATAATATTAACCTTAGAGATCCAGAAAGATTTTGCTACTAGAACAAAATTCCAAAGTATGAAACGAAGACTGAACTTTCAAACGTTGGGAAAAATCCGTACTGACTTGGCATTGTTAACCCTTAATCACTTAACTGCGCCAACCAAGTATTCTCGGTCGGTAGGAAACTGCGCCAACCGAGAAAAACTCTCTGATTTTTTCGTACCCATTCTAAATGTGCGTGAGGTTTGTTGTGTACGTAATGGACTCTTAGGACCTCCAGTGCGAGGCAGTCATCTTGGAAAAAAATCCCAGAATACCCTAGGGCTGCTGGCTGGGTTAATACTGAGTGAGCAACCATGGGTGGCGCACGTGCCTCTGGCTCCCAAACACCTGTCTGACACGGTGTTGAAAGATCACGTTCTGTCGGTGAAATTCAAACCTTATTGTTTGAAGAACATAATGGTCATAATATTGGTGAAGCTAGGCGCAATAAGGACCTAACACAAGGGTCGGATGCAAGTGATACAGCACCTATGAGGACGATACAGCGAGAGTATCCAATTGTAGCGCTGAGCGCCATCCTTGCCCACCTATGCTATGCTATCTCCAATTTATTTAGATGATACATAGATGAATCGTTTTCTGTGTTCAGTGATGATGCATCCGATACAAGTAGCATAGATGAACAGTGTTAGCAACTTCCATGGTGGTGTTTTCCATAGATATTTTCAAGAATAGCTGAATCTCTTCTTGACTGACAGACACTCTTTGAGGCTGACTAAATCTCTTACAGACTGACGGACACAGTCTTACAGACTTCCATGGTGGTGTTTTTGTCTTACAGACAAAAAAAGGTGACACCCCTAGGTTCAACACTTGCATCAGAGGAGCACCAGCATATTTCAACAATCCTAAGTATTGTAGTACAGGTTGATGGTAGTGAGTGGTGTTCCAGAGAACATAAAGGTATAGTGCTTTTGAAAAATAGGTGAGATAACAGGAATGTGCCAAGGGAAGTGAAAAATTGGATAAGAAAAAGTTGCCCTAGTGTTTCCAGTGCAGAGAAGAACATTCAAGATGGCCGCCGGCAAGAGGAAATACAAAATAGAGCTTGATTTTGCTGGATTCAATGAAGAAAGCATTGATATAACCAGTCTATACAACAAGTTGGTAAAATTAGATACTATAGTGAACTCTCATGTAGAAATAATTAGTAAAATGAAAGAAAGTAATGACTATTTAAATAGCAAAGTTTTATGTCTTGGGGGTTTAGTGAAAGACTTGTACATGGATAAGAATCAATTGGAAACAAACTGCATAGCCATGGAAGAAGAAAAACTCTTAAAAATAGCTTTGGAAGAAGTTAAAGTAAATTTAAACATAAATGACTACAATAGGTTAGGTAAGGAAATTCAACAGGAGAAACAGCTTTTGTCAGCACAGATGGAGGAAGTTACTCGGGAAATAGAACAGTGCAAGAAAGATATGCAACTCACCTATGCACAAGTGGCCAAGGAGAAGGAAAAAATTGAAGAAGCAGTAAAGGAAGCCAAACACTGCAGCAACCAAGATAAAACAAACATTAGGCTGGAAGTGAGAAAGGAATTGCCATCTAACCCGAAGTTAGTGAAAAACACAGTTGACTGGAGTAAGTCCCTGATAATTTTTGCTTGCAAAGAAAAAAGATAACATCTAGATCAGAGAGAGCTGTAGAAGAAGCGAAAGTAGTAGATAAAATTGTTGGCCTCGTGGAAGGTCTTACAACCATAGAGAATGTGTGCGACTACAGGAGAATAGGCAGATATGTAAAAGGGAAAGATCGACCTTTGAGGATCACCCTAAATGGTGCCAAACAGATGGAAGAAGTACTAAGGAATGCTAGAAAATTACGAAGTGATGAGGATGGGAAAGTGTGGTCGTTAAGACGAGATCTTTCAAAAGAGGATAGAGAGAGGCTGAAACTGAACCTTGCCGAGGCAAAACATTTAAATGAGAGCAGGAATGAAGAAGAAATCAATTCTTTTTTCTACAAAGTGATAGGGGTAGGCAGACCAGTAAAGTGGTACATAAAGGCAAACCAACAAAATCATTAGAGAGAGGGGGAGTGAAAAATAAGGAGAGGGGGAACAAGTTCCTGAAGATTGCATACACCAACATAGATGGAGTAAGATCGAAGATACTGGAGTTAAATGATGTAATACAGCTGCAGACACCAGACATTGTTGCACTCACGGAGACACAACTTGAAGATGCTATTTTAAATGAGGTCATATTCCCAAGGGGCTACTCAATTTGGAGACGGGACAGAAAAATTAGGAAAGGCAGTGGCGTTGCTGTGCTGGTGAAAGAACACCTAAAGGTGAACGAAATAATGACTGCCAATCCACAAAAAGTTGACATAATAGCACTAGAGATCTGCCATGAGGATGATAAACTAATGATCATAAATGCATGTAGTCCACCGCCAAGCAGCACATGGTCAAAGAAGGAGCTAGATAGTAAACAAGACGGTCTTATAACAATAATGAGAGAGATTATAGCGAGAGTAGATAATGATAGATCACGACTGTTGATAGTCGGCGACTTCAACTTGAAATCAATAGACTGGGAAGGATATGAAGCTAAAACAGGAGATTTTTGAACCTGTAGATTTGTAGACCTCATCCTGGAAACATTCTTGCATCAACATGTTAAACAAGCTACGAGGATGAGGGAAGGGGACGTTCCCGCCATGCTAGATTTGATATTTACCAGGAAGGAGGAAGAAATATTTCACATTCAGTACCTTCCTCCTTTCAGTAAAAGTGACCATGTCTTTTTGGGAATAAAGTATGCAATGCGTTATAATCTGGAAGAAAATAAGGAGGTTGAAGCAGTCGAAAAACCCGACTTCAGGAGAGGTCATTATGGTGACCTTAGAAAAAATTTTAGTGACTATAATTGGACAGATTTGTTGCTAGGCAAGGAAGTGAATGAGATGTATGTCAAGTTTTGTGAAATATATGATAAAGGCACAAAAAAATTTATACCAAAACAGAGATGCAGAACTAGGAAATAGGATTGGTTCAACAGAAATTGCGAGAGGGCCAGTGACCAAAAGACACAAAAATGGAATCAATACAGGAAGAGGCCAAACCCCCAAACATACCAGTGATACAAAGATGCGAGAAACAACTACACGGCAATGAGGAGAGAGGCAGAAAGAAATTTTGAAAAAGGGATTGCAGACAAATGTAAAACAGAACCAGATCTATTCTATAAATTCATAAACAACAAATTGCAGGTAAAGGATAATATTCAGAGGTTGAAAATGAGAAATAGATTCACAGAAAATGAAAAGGAAATGTGTGAAACATTAAACGAAAAGTGCCAACCTGTGTTTGTATAAAAGGAAATCTTCAGGGAACCAGACGCAATAAGAATTCCAGAGAACAACATAGAGCACATAGAGGTGTCTAGAGACGAAGTGGAAAAAATGCTCAAGGAGCTAAATAAGAACAAAGCAGTTGGTCCAGATGGAGTTTCACAATGGGTTCTGAGAGAATGTGCACCTGAGCTCAGCATTCCACTTAAACTGATTTTTCAGGCATCCCTGTTTACAAAAGTTGTAGCTGATGTGTGGAAAAAGGCTAACATAGTTCCAATCTACAAAAGTGGAAGCAGGGAAGACCCCCTTAATTATAGACCTGTATCATTGACAAGTGTAATAGTCAAAATATTGGAAAAAATAATTAAAACTAAATGGGTAGAATACCTGGAGAAAAACTATATAATATCAGACAGACAGCATGGTTTTCGATCTGGAAGATCCTGTGTAAAGAACTTACTCAGATTTTATGATCGAGCCACAGAGGAATGAGATGGTTGGGTTGACTGCATCTATCTGGACCTAAAAATGGCTTTCGACAGAGTTCCCCATAAGAGGTTGTTCTGGAAACTGGAACATATTGGAGGGATGACAGGTAAGCTTCTAACATGGATGAAAAATTTCCTAATTGACAGAAAAATGAGAGCCATAATCAGAGGCAAGGTATCGGATTGAAGGAATGTCACGAGTGGAGTACCACAGGGTTCGGTTCTTGCACCAGTAATGTTCATTGTCTACATAAACGATCTACCAGTGGGAATACAGAATTATATGAACATGTTTGCTGATGATGCTAAGATAATAGGGAAGATTAGAAACCTAGATGATTGTCATGCTCTTCAAAAAGACCTGGACAAAATAAGTATATGGAGCAACACTTAACAAATGGAATTTAATGTGAATAAATGCCATGTTATGGAATGTGGAATTGGAGAACATAGACCCCACGCAACCTATAAATTATATGAGAAATCTTTAAAGAATTCTGACAAAGAAAGGGATCTAGGGGTGGTTCTAGATAGAAAACTGTCACCTGAGGACCACATTAAGAACATTGTGCGAGGAGCCTATGCTACACTTTCTAACTTCAGAATTACTTTTAAATACTGTACATGGATGGAGAAATACTAAAGAAATTGTTCACGACTTTTGTTAGACCAAAGCTGGAATATGCAGCGGTTGTATGGTGCCCATATCTTAAGAAGCACATCAACAAACTGGAAAAGGTGCAACGACATGCCACTAAGTGGCTCCCAGAACTGAAGGACAAGAGCTACGAGGAGAGGTTAGAGGCATTAAATATGCAAAAACTAGAAGATAGAAGAAAAAGAGGCGATATGATCACTACCTTCAAAATAGTAACAGGAATTGATAAAATTGATAGGGAAGGTTTCCCAAGACCCGGGTCTTCAAGACCAAGAGGTCATAGATTTAAACTAACGAAACAAAGCTGCCGGAGAAATATAAGAAAATTCTCTTTTGTAAACAAAGTGGTAGACGGTTGGAACAAGTTAGGTGAGAAGGTGGTGGAGGCCAAAACCGTCAGTAATTTCAAAGCGTTATATGACAGAGTGCTGGGTTGACGGGACACCACGAGCGTAGCTCTCATCCTGTAACTATACTTAGGTAATTACACTGAGGTAATTACACTCTTTGAAGCTGGCTGAATCTCTTCCTGTGTGGGACCTTACAAAGTGATCTTTTCACGACTACCTTACAAATTGATCTTTTCCTGTAACCTTTTCAAGACTACCTTACGTTTTACAAGCTTGGCTACATACTACCTACAGGTACTAATGCCAAGGGTGTACCCGAGTGCATTATTTGCAAGCACACAGAACGAAGAAACCGGAAGCAAAAATTTATCTGTACCTGGTGCAACAAGAGCGAAGTTGCGCTGTGTACCATGGACTACTTCATTGATTGTTACTCACTTCCGAAGTACTGAGTGTGTAATAGTGTGTTACTGTGTAAATAGTGTGGGAAACTGTACATATTGTAATTTTAGTGATTTTTTAACAAGTAATATTGCAACAATAAACATTTATTGTGGACACATTACTGACACATGTATCACACTTCCATGGAACATTATGAACGTTCTACTATATACATATGGTAAAGGACACAAATATGCATCATACACGATAAAAAAACAAATAAAACCGCAATGGAAATACAAAGAACAAATAATAAGAAAATATATTTATAGCAACACCCAGTGCTTGAATGGCCCACGCGACCGTGTCTGGGCGCGTCATGCACGGGCGACCAGGCCCTGATGACATCACAGCGCACCTTGTCCACGTCCCCGCAACCAAAGTGGAATTTCGTATTTATTTTTACATAGACATGTTCAGGAAGGGCATTTATCATTTTACGAACAAAAGAGAATTTTTTGGTAACACTTTATTTCATGCGCACAGGGGAAATTTCACAATAAACTCGGCACAACACGGTAATTAAACTGCGCAACACTTTATATGATGTGTTGAGTAACTGACTCAAAAGTGCGCACCACTGCATATGATGTTTTGGAGTACCGTGCAAGATTTAAATGGGCCGCGGGGTAGAGGAGGCACTCCCCCCATATGCTGCCCAGGGGGCAATAGTAAACAGCTGCCATTTTGAAAAAAAATCTAGCTGGACCACCACAATGCGAGAGGCCTCAGTTACCCAACAGGCACCATGGCGAGCACACGGTCAAATGCCTCCTGGGCATGCATCATGCAATCATTGACTCAAGATCAAATAAATAGTGAATTATTTTTTGATGGTGAGGAAAGTGATATTGATGACTCTGACATTGATAGAGACTATGCACAGATGTCCAATGATAATAGCACGGACAGTGAGATTGAGATACAGCTTGCTCCCATGACAAGGCCTAGATGTTCAGCAGTGCCTCAACACCCAGTGTCTACACCAATTCTCTCACGACCACACAATACTTGTACTTATTTAGAGTATGAGGATATTTTGGGCGACGAGTCAGAGGAATATGATTCTTTTTCTAGTTTTAGTGAAATGGAATCAGAGCATAGTATTACCACGCCTCTCGCTAGTGGCAGTGGTGTTACCAAGCAATGTTTTATTACATCAACAGCAGAGGCTCGCCCAGCCAAGCGCCGCCGCATGGCACCACATGGAGAAAATGAGGAACAAAGGCCCTCATGTTCATGTGATTATACCTCATCTTCAGTTCTCGCCCATACTGTGCGTAGACGGGCTTCAGCTCCTGGCCCACGGTGTGCAACGATTCCTTGCTGTGGTGCCGCTGTTTCGTCTTGCAGGACACCAGGTATACTTGTATAGTGATGGGGATGATTTTGTTCCACTAATTCTTGCCTTTGACAATAAAGATGTTGGGATTACAGACCTTTTCCCAGATTCTGGTGAGGGCATGTATGAAATGGACTTTTTTACTGCATATTTTGATGAGCCACTCATGGAACATATTGTACACAAAACAAACATTCACGCAGCTCATCTCATTGAAAAGGAGTTAACAGAATTTTCATGATTACAGCATTGGAAAAACACTACTGTAGGTGAAATGTATGTATTTTTTGCACTATGTATGTTGATGAAACATTGTGTAAAACACGTTATCTTAGATTACTGGAGCAAAGACCAGACTGTTCCAACACCTTTGTTCAGGAAATACAAGTCTCAAGACAGGTTTCAGATACTCCTCAGGTGTCTTCATTTTGCAAATAATGAAGATGCAGGATGATAGACTTTTGGAGAGTGAGGCACGTTCTGAATGAACTGATTGGAAAGTTCAGATTTCTACATACTGTACCAGCACAGAAGCTAGTGATTGATGAATCCCTTGTGCTTTTCAAAGGACATGTTGGCGTCAAGAAGTATATTCCCTCCAAACGCAACAGATTTGGATTTAAATTCTATGTTCTCTGTAACCGTGAAACAGGACCTGTGTTACACATGGTTCTGTATTCTGCTAGCAATGTAGACATTCCTGGTAATGATCAACATGATTTTTCAGGTAGTGTGGTGAAGACACTGATGGCACCATGGCTGAAGTTGGGCCACATTTTATACACAAAAAACTACTATACAAGTCCCTTACTAACTGGTTCTTGCTTGAAAATAGAACTGGAGTGTGTGGCACAGTAAAGGCAAGAAGTGGGGAAGCTGTGCCGAAGAGCAGCACGGCGGCGTGGTGTGACGTTTGCTTCTTTCTTTAGGGAGTTTTGCCTCTCTGTTTGGTTTATGGTTGCAGTTTTCTTACCATGTGGGGTTTGTTTTGTTATACCTACTATTCTGGGTGCCTAACCCCAGTCGATGGCAAATAAGGAAAACCCCCAACCACAGGGAGATTTTCTAGGGCCAGATTTTCTCCCTGTGCCTCTCTGAGGGGGGGGCCAGGTTCTGGCTCGTGGTCCCCGGTAGGCTGAACTCCTATGACTAATGCCCTAGTCTAATGAATTGCATATTAGCCTGATAGCTCCAGGGAGCCTTCGGGGTTCACCCAGAAAATGGCGTTTCATTACATTCATCACTGGTTTTTTTTTATAGCAAGATCCTTAAGTTAACTTTATGTTAGCTTCTATAATATGAGGCATCATGGACATATATCCCTGAGTAAAATATTTCCAACCTAGAGGGATTGTGTAGTACTGTAGTTGGTATATTTGAAGAGTAGACCTATTAATGCCATCCAGTGAAATAAGTTAAAATTAAGAATGAATGCACAATGTATTAAGCAACAAATGTAAAGATGCAACTGGCTACTGAAAGTGAGAATGGAAGAGGTTAGGTAACCTAGTCTAACATTAGTTACATCATAAGAGTTAAACAACACATGTGCTGTCGCTCTTTACTATATCTACAATGATGAGGTCTTTATACTGTATATGTAAAGTACCAATAACACTGTACACTACCATAAACACTCCAAGAAGTCATTAAGGTTAGTGTCACCTACGAATTCCCAAAAAGACTGAAACAGTAGTATAATATAACTTAAGTACTGTACTGTACAAACAATTAACTTGAAGAATGTAGTTTCCTTGTTATTAATACTTCGTTCTTCCAGGTAAATTCTAAGAAGGGACACAAGTGCACAATATTTATTGGCCTGCCTGTTCCTTTCATATTAGCATGTAAATCATGAGCTATAATACACATTTTGAAAATCAGCAATAACCAAACCTTGCGTTGTGTTACAGCCGTCTGCACCCGAGAAGCTACGGCATCAACTCTGGCAGCCATCCGCAGGTAATTGAGAGCTTGACTCTTATTACGAATGGAATTTTCAGCGTGAATTCGAGCACCATCCATGTTCCCCTTGGCTATTGCCTTCTTTAGCTTCACCTTTTCTGCCTTCTCTTCTTTCTCAGATTTTTTAGACTGCCGCTCAAGATCTTTGGCGGCAAATTTCAAGCTGAAGAGATGCTCTGAAAGATGAAGGGATTTGTATTAGACTGCTGCAAACATGTAATAACATCTTGACCCCAATTGGCTATATAGTATTTAATTCCCATTGTCTAGGAGAGAAAGCCTGTACTTATTCTCATCAAGGTCCTCCTCCCCCCACCCCCAGGCCAACTACTGATGCTCCCCAAGATGCAACCCCATAACAGTTGCCTAACTCCCAGGTACCTATTTACTGCTGGGTGAACAAAGACATTAGGTGAAAGGAAATGTGCCCAACCATTTCTATCTTGCCAGGGGACTGAACCCAGATCACTATATTGTGAGCCAAGGCTGTAGACCACTGTGTTACAGAACCCACAAATGTAATATTATATGGATACAGGTAAATGGAAGGGTGCTGAAATTTTTGGATATAGGCACGAGGATGTCACATTGTACCCAAGACAGTTCATGAACAGATTTTTAAAACCTATCCAACCATACCCGTCCCATGCTAAGTTAACAACAGCCTAACATAACAGCATAGAACTATTAAAATAGAAAATGAACTTTGTTGAAACACCTGTGTATGATTTGAGTGAATCCCCAGGCACATGGAGCACTGTAATATTTGGCTCCAGGTGGGCACACAACACTGCAATACTTGAATACTGACACAAAAGTACAGAAAAAACATGTTTGCAAGCAATGTGACATGATGATGATTAGCCAGTTCATTTTAACCTAGATTTTGTGGGTAAGGTCTAAGATATGAGAAAGCTTTTTTGCCCATTTATGTCATTGCTACTCTTTTAATAACCAACACCAACCTAACCCTAACTATCCCAACCCAACCCAACCTATCCTAACCAAACTTAACCATTCCTATCCTATCCTTACCTAAACAAAATACAGTAGACAAAAAGTTTTGTTTTGTTTGTGTTGTTCACTAAGTATGTGACACCATGATAACATAGTTTTAATGATGGCGCAGGTTTTGAATTCTACTGCATTTAGTGAGATACTGTACTGTAGTTCGGCAACTGGCTACAGGTCACCTTGTACCCAAGTCAGTTTGCTAAAACATTTTTAAAACTACCTCACCCAATCCTAACCTATCCCAACACATCCTATCCTAACCTAACCCAGTCAAACCTAATAATATAAACCAGTCAAACCTAATGATATAAACCAGTCCTAACCTATCCTAATCCATATAAGAGTTCTAGTAAAGCCACTAACACACAGCATTTCGGGCTAGTCCTTAATCCGAATTTTCCCAGAATACGACTGGGTAAATCATTTAACAACCAGGTACTCATTCACTGCTGGGTGAACAGAGGCTACAGTCAATCCCCCCCTGACCAGGATATGAACCCAGGAAAAAGCGCTCGCGAAGCGCTGGGCAAGTGCTTTACCACTGCACCACGCGGACTGCTATACGAACAAAAGAACATAAGAATAAAGGTAACTGCAGAAGGCCTATTGGCCCATACAAGGCAGCTCTTATTTATAACCACCCAATCCCATTCATATACATGTCCAACCCACGCTTCAAACAATCAAGGGACTCCACCTCCACCACGTTACGCGGTAATTGGTTCCACAAATCCTGTAACCCCTGTTACCGAACCAGTATTTACCAAAGTCTTTCCTAAATCTAAACTTAACCAGTTTATACCCATTGTTTCGGGTTGTCTTGTGTTGATACTTTTAATACCTTATTAATATCCCCTTTGTTATGTCCATTCATCCACTTGTAAACCTCTATCATGTAACCCTTGACTCTTCGCCTTTCCAGTGAATGCAATTTAAGCTTTATTAATTTTTCTTCATATGACAGGCTTCTAATTTGTTGGATTAACTTTGTCATCCTACGCTGGACACGTTCAAGTGAATTTATATCCATTCAATAGTATGGCGACCAAAACTGAACTGCATAATCTAAATGGGGTCTAACTAGAGCAAAATATGGCTGAAGAACAACACCAGGTGTCTTGTTACTAATGCTTTGATTAATAAATCCCAGTGTCCTATTTGCCTTATTACGAACATTTATGCATTGATCTTTTGGTTTTAAATTCTTACTAATCATAACTCCCAGATCTCTTTCACAATCCGACTTCGCAATCTCAATACCATCTAGCTCATATCTTGTAACTATATCATCACTACCCAGCCTCAAAACCTTACAATTGTTAGCATTTAAACAGTCTCCGTGGTGTAGTGGTAAGACACTCGCCTGGCGTTCCGCGAGCGCTATGTCATGGGTTCGTATCCTGGCCGGGGAGGATTTACTGGGCGTAATTCCTTAACTGTAGCCTCTGTTTAACGCAACAGTAAAATGTGAACTTGGATGAAAAAACGATTCTTCGCGGCGGGGATCGTATTCCAGGGACCTGCCCGAAACGCTACGCGTACTAGTGGCTGTACAAGAATGTAACAACTCTTGTATATATCTCAAAAAAAAAAAAAAAAAAAAAAAAAAAAAAAAAAAAAAAAAAAAAAAAAAAAAAAAAAAAAAAAAAAAAAAAAAACTGCATCTGCCAATCTTTTGACCATTTCAAAACCTTATTTACATCGCCTTGAAGTGATAATGAGTTTTTCCGTGTTTATTTCCTTCCCAATTTTTGTATCATCTGCAAATTTGCAAATGTTGCTGCTCAAACCTGAATCTAAATCATTTATATATACTGTATTATGAATAACAGAGGTCCCAGGACAGAGCCTTGAGGCACTCCACTTACAACATTTTCCCACTCTGACTTAACCCCATTTATACTAACTCTGTTTCCTTTGGTATAGCCATGCCCTAATCCAACTTAATATAGCACCCCAATACCATGAGCCTCTATCTTTTTAATCAATCTTTCATGTGGCACTGTATCAAAAGCTTTGCTAAAGTCAAGGTACACAACATCACAAACCTTACCACTATCAACTGCCTCATCTATGCTGGAATAAAACGATAGAAAATCTGTTAAACATGAACGGCCATTTGTGAAACCATCTTGAGGTTATCTCGAGATGATTTCGGGGCTTTTTAGTGTCCCCGCGGCCCGGTCCTCGACCAGGCCTCCACCCCCAGGAAGCAGCCCGTGACAGCTGACTAACACCCAGGTACCTATTTTACTGCTAGGTAACAGGGTCATAGGGTGAAAGAAACTCTGCCCATTGTTTCTCGCTAGCGCCTGGGATCGAACCCAGGACCACAGGATCACAAGTCCCGCGTGCTGTCCGCTCGGTTGACAGGCTCCATGGTATATATACCATGTTGTGAATCACTTATTACTTTGTTTCCAAGATGAAGACGAATGGTATTTGCAATTATCGATTCAAATACCATTTCACCTGTATTACCATACAAGAGTAACCTAACTAAACCAAACATGCCAAACATACCACTATAAACAGCAATAAATCTTAGAAAACAAGCTTTGTCAAAAACAGAATGTGAATGATGTGATGGTACCCTAAGGTTATTGACAAATCATATCGTACAAAAGATAGTTCCCAAATTGATTTTAAAAACTACCTAATCTTACCTAACACAACCAAGCAACCTAACCCACGCTAATGCATCGTAATCTAATGATGCATATTGTTTTGACAATGAGAAAACGAGCTTTGTTAAACCACCTTGAGTATGATCCTAGGGTAGCCCCAGGTGACCACAGTGTAGGGCAGAGACTAGCACCTTGAGTATGATCCTAGGGTAGCCCCAGGTGACCACAGTGTAGGGCAGAGACTAGCACCTTGAGTATGATCCAAGGGTAGCCCCAGGTGACCACAGTGTAGGGCAGAGACTAGCACCTTGAGTATGATCCTAGGGTAGCCCCAGGTGACCACAGTGTAGGGCAGAGACTAGCACCTTGAGTATGATCCTAGGGTAGCCCCAGGTGACCACAGTGTAGGGCAGAGACTAGCACCTTGAGTATGATCCTAGGGTAGCCCCAGGTGACCACAGTGTAGGGCAGAGACTAGCACCTTGAGTATGATCCTAGGGTAGCCCCAGGTGACCACAGTGTAGGGCAGAGATCAGCACCTTGAGTATGATCCTAGGGTAGCCCCAGGTGACCACAGTGTAGGGCAGGGATCAGCACCTTGAGTACGACCCGAGGGTATTCCCAGGTGACCAAAGTGTAGGGCAGAGACCAACACCTTCAGTACGACCAGAGGGTAGCCTCAGATGACCAGTGTCGGGTAGGGACCAGCTGGGCTGCCAGTCACTACTGCAACCCTTCACACACTTACTTTCCATATTGGCAATCGACATGTTGAGGAGTATATATGCAGTAGTGTGGAGAGGGTGAGCGATGTGGCGGAGTGGCAGGGACGGCGACACAGTGTGGTAGAGACAGAGTGTGGCACAACAGTGACAAAGTTTCCCGTGACACTCTAATGTTTACCAATGACGTCATGGAGACAAGTCACTTCGTACCCATCACGGTTCGCCACGGAGTTATTATACATTTGTTACGACCCTGGGTTCCTTAGATGGAAACCAGAATTTGAGCTCTAAATAATTACTATATATTAATTCATAGAATTGGATCATGTGAGAAGGACATTTAATTACAATAATATTTATATCAGGGCTCCTTAAAACCGGGAGTATGCCTTATTCCCGTCGCCCTTGCCAAACGTAGGATGAATCTTGTTTCTCACAGAGCATTCAGACTGAGCTTGTTGTTGATTAATTATAGCATTGAACTAATTATCAGCTATTCTTAGAATGTTTAAGGGAACTAGTAAGGAAGGTCTGAGTAAACTTGGGTTGATGTCTGCTGTACGATCAGCTGAATATCCAACCGGCAGCGATTCAGAGTAAGAGGTATCAGGGCGCTAGTTCGTCCTTCTCTGTCCGGGCTGTGGTTGTGACAACATCTTCCCTGTGTAGCTCTGTCTCCATTCTCCTCCTCCTTCTCCCTTTCCCTTAAGCTACCGTAACCGCTACGTTAAGTATAAACCTGTGTCACCGTGCTACTAGCTAGGCTTATGTGTGATGTATAGATATTGTGTAGTATAAGCCAGTGTTTTGGGCATCCATAAGTGTTTGTGTTGTGATAGGGTACCACGTGGGGCTTACTACCCCAAGCTGCTTCAAACTTTCGAGTTCTTTTCAAGTAGACTTTACCCTAGCTTGTCCTAATTGTAAAACCTTTTGCTAGAGATAGGGGGAACAGGTTAAGGGTTTGCTATCCCGGAGCTGGCATTGGTGATATTATAAATAACATGAATGATATTATGGCTGGAAATGGGAACAATCCCGTTATTTGCATTAGCGTGGGAGGAAATGATGTTGGTCGAGTTAGGAGTGAGGAACTGATTCAGAGGTATAAAACAGCCATAGAATTAGTTAGGAGCAAGGGAGGAATCCCGATCATATGTGGCATTCTTCCAAGAAAGGGAGTGGGAAATGAATGCATGGATATCGAGGGCACTTGGTGTCAATTGCCGGCTGGAAAGATATTGCAAATCAAATGCAATATCTTTCATAGACAACTGGGAACACTTCTATGGAAGAAATGAAATGTATGCTCGTGATGGGGTGCATCTATCGAGGGCTGGGGTTGTTGCTGTTGCGAACTCGTTGGAAGAAGTGGTTAGAGGTGTTTGGGTTTAAACTGTTAGTAGATAGAGGTATGGGAATTGATTTGGAGGAAGGAGGTAATAAAAGTATGTGTTTGTGGGAGAAAGTAATTGGCAAAATGATCAGGGAAAGAGAAGGGCCTCAAAATAACAATTCACTTAGGGTATATTACACTAACAGTAGAAATCTAAGAAATAAAATTAACGAATTAAATGCTCTTGTCTGCACAGAAAAAATAGTTATTATTGCACTTACCGAAACGTGGATGAATGTAGAAAATAGAGAACTATTAGCTGAATATCAAATAAATGGATTTAAACTATTTCACACAGATAGATATATTAGACGAGGAGGTGGAGTAGCCATATATGTTAGGGACAATTTGAAATGTAGTCTCAAAGAGGGAATCAGAGCTGAGCTACACAGAAACTATTTGGATAGAATTAAACGAAAAAAGCTAATATTATAATAGGAGTTATATATAGGCCACCAAATTTAGACAGAATGGAAGCAAAGCACCTATGGGATGAAATATCTATAGCATCTAGATCTAACAGTATTTATGTCATGGGTGACTTTAATTTTAGTGGAATAAACTGGTTGAACAAAACAGGGAATAGTGAAGCAGAAGATTTTCTAGAATTGACGATTGCTTTCTTACGCAACACATTAAGGAACCAACACGGGAAAATAATATTTTAGATTTAGTGTTAACTAACAGGGAAACACAAATTAATGACATCGAAATAGGGAGTGAGCTAGGGCACAGTGATCACAAAGAAATCAGATTTAGCATAGAATGAAATAGACCTGTAGGAGAAAATTCTGTTAAAGTGCCAGATTTTCGAAAAGCTGATTTTAATAGCCTAAGAATTTTTTTGGATCAAATTGATTGGAAAGTCTTGGGTATGGGGTGTGGGCCGGTCTTGGAGCGAGACATGAAACCAGCGATAGGTGACTTAAGTGGGGATTTCGATGTGGATTCAATATATAACTTATTTAAGAATATTCTAAACAAAGCACAGGAACGTAGTATACCATACAAATTGAATAGATCGAATACTAATGACCCAAAGTGGATAACAATGAATTTGAAGAACCTTATAGGTAAAAAGAGAGCTTGGTACAAAAGGATTAAAAATGGGGAGGTCACTTTAGAACAGGAATTCGTTCAACTGGTTAGAAATGTTAAAAAAGAGATAAGGAAAGCAAAAAGAAACTATGAAGTTCGCATAGCAGGGCAAGCAAAGACAAATCCTAAAGGGTTTTTTCAGTTATATCGTACTAAGACTAGGGAAAGGATAGGTCCATTAAAAACTGAGACAGGTCAAATAACAGATAGTGATGAAGAGATGAGTAGTATTTTTAATAAATATTTTGTATCTGTATTTACTAAAGAGGAACTTAACAATATGCCTTCAGCCGAACAAGTCTATGTGGGTGGGGACGAGGACAGGTTGACGAGTTTAGCAGTTACCAGGGAGGATGTTCTTAAACAAATAGTAAAACTCAAACCAAACAAATCCCCAGGGCCGGATGAAGTGTTTGCCAGGGTGCTTAAAGAATGCAAAGAGGAGCTTTGTGACCCACTGTCAACCATATTTAATAAATCAATAGAGTCAGGCAGAGTGCCAGAGTTTTGGAAGGTTGCTAATGTGATACCAGTTTTTAAGAAAGGAGATAGATCACTTGCGTCTAACTATCGACCAATTAGCCTAACGTCTATTGTGGGACAGTTACTCGAATCTATAATAGCAAATAAAATTCGTCTTCATCTTGAAAAACATAAATTAATAATTGAGTCGCAACATGGTTTTATAAATGGCCGTTCATGTTTAACAAATTTGTTATCTTTTTATTCTAGCATAGTTGAGGCAGTTGATAGCGGTAAGAATTGTGATGTTGTGTACCTTGACTTTAGCAAAGCTTTTGATACAGTGCCACATGAAAGACTGATTAAAAAGATAGTCTCATGGTATTGGGGGTGCTATATTAAGCTGGATTAGGGCATGGCTATACCAAAGGAAACAGAGTTAGTATAAATGGAATCAAGTCAGAGGGGGAAAGTGTTGTAAGTGGAGTGCCTCAAGGCTCTGTCCTGGGACCTCTGTTGTTTATAATATATATAAATGATTTAGATTCAGGTTTGAGTAGCAACATTTGCAAATTTGCCGATGATACGAAAATCGGTAGGGAAATTAATTCGGAGGAGGACTCACTATCACTTCAAGTTGATCTAGATAGGGTTTTGAAATGGTCAAAGGATTGGCAGATGCAGTTTAATGCTGATAAATGTAAAGTTCTGAGGTTAGGTAATGATGATGGAGTTACAAGATACGAGCTAGATGGTGTTGAGATTGCGAAGTCGGATTGCGAAAGGGATCTGGGAGTTATGATTAGTAAGAATTTAAAACAAAAGGATCAATGCATAAATGTTCGTAATAAGGCAAATCGGACACTTGGATTTATTAATCGCAGCGTTAGTAACAAGACACCTGGTGTGGTTCTCAAGCTATATCTTGCTCTAGTTAGGCCCCATTTAGATTATGCAGTTCAGTTTTGGTCGCCGTATTATAGAATGGATATAAATTCACTTGAACGTGTCCAGCGTAGGATGACTAAGTTAATTCCCCAAATTAGAAATCTTTCATATGAAGAAAGATTAACAAAGCTTAAGTTGCATTCACTGGAAAGGCGAAGAGTTAGGGGTGACATGATAGAGGTTTACAAGTGGGTGAATGGACATAACAAAGGGGATATTAATAGGGTATATTAATATACCCCCCCCCCCCCCCAAAAAAAAAAGCAGTGTTCTTTTGTTGACCAACTTGTATACAGTAATTACTGATTTCTGCCATGTTTCCCCTTACCCCTTTTTTCCATTTTTCAACACATTTTATACTTTAATCTCAATTAGTTTTAAGTTTTAGTCTAAGTGTTTATTTTTTCCCACACCTTGCCCGAAACGCTATGCTTATTAAGTGGCTTTAGGTATTGTATGTACTAGCTCTATCTATAAATCCAACACTATATATTTGTAACTCATCATCTATGTATGTACTTTTACCTGAATAAACATTTCTGGTAAAAAAATGTTACCTGAAATGGTAACATTTGATCAAATGTTATGATCAAATTAAATAGTAAAATTTTATTTTATTGTATTTATGACATTGATAATTGTGTAACTAGCTTCAAAAGAGTGTTACTTGCTTAGCTAAACGAACTGTGTGGTTCAGTCCCTGAACCAATTATGTGCCTCCGTAACCCTTTACACCACCGCCCACGGGATGGGTATGGGGTGCATAATAAAGAAAGAAATTGAATCATAACCCAATGTACCTTCTTGTATATATATATATATATATATATATATATATATATATATATATATATATATATATATATATATATATATATATATAAATAAATAAAATGTATTCAAGCGTAATTTATAAAGAAAATGAACCTACATGTTGGGGTAACTAAATAAAATGTTAATACATATAATACATTTTAACCTAAACTACATTTGTTAACTTTTTATTAAAATACTGTACTTACATTAAAAATATCTTTATTAAAGTAAATATAATTATATAAATTTTCTTGCATAAATAAAGGAGATTATAAATAATTACATAAGCATTTCATTACATTTTATATATAAAAGTATTTTTTCATAATAGAGTTATATAGGAATATACAGGTCGATACGCGAAGCGTTCTCTAGATATCATTTTTTGGCATCCTTCTCTTGAAGGATATAGGATAATGCTATGATAATTAACAATATGTGAATACTTTTACCAGTTAATTGTCTGT